AAACGAGAGTACAAGCTAAGAAAGGAACAACTGAAAGAGGTAAACACACATGCTCAAGCATGGCTTTTTACCCATATATGAATTCACCAATGGTGTTTTTCATCTTGGTATAATTCTACCTAAACTGACCTCTGAGATCTGTGAGATTATTTTTGCTTGAACAGTGTAATGAAATGAAGACAAATGAAAAATACCGGAAATGGGCATAGGCAATACAGCTATAATGTCATGTATCTCTATTGTTCAGCCATTTGACAGTTACACAGTTATACAAATGAACAATATACAATCCAGAGGATGAGAGAAAACATTGTTACTAAGTTGATTCAAAATGTTTAAAGCAAGAAGTAAAATACAGTAAAAATGTAGTTTAGTAAAAATCATCTAGTTGAAAACCGTAATATTCATAGTTTTTTGCTTAATGAATTAAAAAAGAATGTTTATTGATTTAAAGCCTCCCTGCCGTCACCAATTTAACCGTGGAGCACAAGTTACTATGGTGATGAACACTGCTGAAAGCCAAACCCCAAACCACTTTCATGGTGCCTAACACCCAGTTAGCTAAACTAAAACTTACCTGGCTAGCCAGTTAAACGAGCTTCAAGGTATAGGCCCCAGATATGAAAAGCCTCATCTCACAAGTTGACGCGATTGGTTACGTTTGTGACGGTAGGAAACAGGTGTAGTTTAAAACCACGTTTTTGAGACTATCTTTGTTACACTGTAGTTTTAAGGAGAAAATCCTCAGCAATGGTGTTGACTGATGAATTTGCACATGGTTTATCTTTAAGCAAGATAAAAACACCAGAGAAACATGTAAACAATATCAAAAACCAGATTTTTCACCACAGGGGTCTTTACAATTTTTATATATAACAAATATATAAAAATATGTAGTTACATTTTGCCTTTTATTACTAAAACAAAAAAAAGCAAGAAAAATGTATGTATTTCCCTTTACAACCCATTGATGTTTCCCACGCTGCATGTAGGAGCTAAATGAGAACCAGTCCACCCCTAAGAAAGAGAAGCAGGAGTGGCTTTTGAAGCAGAAGGAGAACTTTCAGCACTACCAGGCAGAGGAGGAAGCCAACCTGCTCCGCCGGCAGCGGCAGTACCTGGAGCTGGAATGTCGGCGCTTTAAACGGCGAATCCTCATTGCAAAACACAATGTAGAGCAAGACCTTGTACGGGAGGTAACGTCACTTTTGCTCAAAGACATAGCTAATGACTGTTTTGATAATTCAATAATCTATTATTTTTTAAATTAAATAAAAAAAATACTTTTTTTTTTTAGTTCCTATATTTTTATTTTTAAAGAAAACAAGTATAACGACAGATTTTCTTGATCCAGGAGCTAAATAAGCGCCAGACGCAGAAAGATCTGGAACATGCCATGCTGCTCCGCCATCATGAATCCATGCAGGAGCTGGAGGTGAGGCAGCTGGGCACCATTCAGAAGATGCGTACAGAGCTGATTCGCTTGCAGCATCAGACTGAACTCACCAACCAGCTAGAGTACAACAAACGCAGAGAGCGAGAGCTACGCCGCAAACATGTCATGGAGGTCCGGCAACAGCCCAAGAGCCTTAAGGTGTGTAGCCTATGCTTGTTTTTGTAACGTACATTAGCTAGTAGTGTAGAATCAGTAAGTCTATTCTCCTCTTTAGTCTAAAGAGCTCCAGATCAAGAAACAGTTCCAGGACACGTGTAAAATCCAGACACGGCAGTATAAGGCCCTGCGCAACCACCTCCTGGAGACCACACCCAAGTCTGACCACAAGGCTGTGCTGAAGAGGCTGAAGGAGGAGCAGACCCGGAAATTAGCCATCCTTGCTGAGCAGTACGACCATTCCATCAATGACATGCTCTCCACACAAGCTGTGAGTGACCTGCCATGTTAGGTGTACGCATATGTATATCTCTTCCTGTAAAGCCATCGAAGAGTTTGAACCAGTCACAAAGTTCTGAAGGAGTTGATGTAGTTACTTACTAAACAGTATTCAGTTGTGGGATAAGTAATGCAGGAGGCAAAAATCTGTTCTCCTAATTTTAATGTGCCATTCATCTTCTCTTGTCTTTAACACACTAATTCTAAATGTAACTACGCCTCCCATCTTGCTCCTTAGCTGCGACTGGATGAGGCACAGGAGGCCGAATGTCAGGTGCTAAAGATGCAGCTGCAGCAGGAGTTGGAGTTGCTGAATGCTTATCAGAGCAAGATCAAGATGCAGACAGATGCACAGCACGATCGTGAGAGGAAAGAGCTGGAGCAGAGGGTTTCACTGAGGAGGGCTCTTCTTGAGCAGAAGGTATGTTAACTGATACAAACCCAAGCAGCCACACTACTTGAAACCACAGGGGGAGGCATGTTGTTTTAAAGAGTTTCAGAGTTTTTGACATTCCAGAATAAGAATTAAAGGTATAGCTCACACAAATATGAAAGTTCTGTCATTTATGTTCCATTTAACTCGTTTTTGAACTACTTTTCAGTAGAATATGACCTTTGAAGCATCTTCAAATTATTGAAGGATGTTTAGCCTAATTTCACATCCAAAATTCAAAAAAGACACATCACATTCACTTAATGCATGCCCAAGAACAAGTGTTTTGCAATTTATGTTGACCCTCCAATTTTGAATTTGGAAAAATGTGTAGATTCCTCAAAAATGTCTACTTTTGTGTTCCAAAAAAACATACATGCAGATTCAGAATGACACAAGGGTGAACAAATTAAGTTTAAGTTTGACAAGTATTTTGTCTGAAGGCTGGAATATACTACACAACTTTCAAAACCTGAACACTACACATCATTCAGTTGGCGACTTTGTGAATGGTTAGAGTGAAAAACTGGTTATCATACGCTAATATGAGTGATGGTCACACACTACCAGACTTTCAAGTAGTTCTGAACACAATCTCATGCAGAACCATCTGCCTCGTTGCTAGAAGACAAATAAAAATAATATTGTGAAATCAGCTCAGAATATTGATCTCCTCCAACTTGATGGAATCATAGTCTGAAGATAAAAAATCAGAGTCTGTGCCCATCATATACTATGCAATTTTCTGTGAAATCTGTCAACTCTGAATGCCCAATATCTGCAGGCTAGTGTTGTGGAAAAAGTCTCTGTTTTCTTTGCAAAAAGCACTCAAGTCACAGAGTTCCAGAGTTGTCAAAGATAAAACTATTGCAGCAGTCAACAAAGCGAGATGCCTGCAGAACCCAGTCGCAGCTTCCACTTTTATACAGTTCATAACCAATGACTTCATCTTTAAACTCTTGTTATAATTATTTAACTATCCTCTTGTTTACTTTCTAAGGGTGAAGCACGTACTACCAACATACGTTCAGTGTTGGGCAAGTTACTCTGAAAATATAATTAAATTACTGATTACTCCTTTTAAAAGTAATCACGTTACTGTTCTGATTACTTTATTTCAAAAGTAATTAGTAATTAGTTACATTACTAGTTACGTTACTTTTTTCTCCATGAAATTTATGAAATCCCAGCATACACGCTCCCGATAAATATTTGTTATTAAAGCATCAACATTCACAGAGCACTGTTATTTTTAACTAAAGCAACATAGTTGCCATGCTGCGTGCATGGTTTGGCATGGCAGAATGCCAGCAAAGAGCGCTGCATTTATAATCTCTGTTATAACACAATACATATATGCATTATGAATCTTTCATAATGTCTACAATTCGTGTGTTATAATGAGAGGATTCGTAAGCACGCAAATTTCAGCACTGCATTGCTCAACGCTGCAAACACGCCTAAATAGAAACTCTGCATACAGGGGCGGTTCTGGGGGGCCAGTGCCCCCCTGCCAACAAACTTGGCCCCCCTTTGGCCCCTTTTACAATCTCTAGATTATAAAACACTGCATTCTGTCAGCAATGTAACGCGGCAGTAACATATAGAGACCTCGGCTTGTAACTATACTCTAATTACTATTTTGAAAATTATAACGCGTTAAATTACTCCGTTACTTAAAAAGTAATTAAATTACAGTAACGCGCTACTAAGTAATGCGTTACTGCCCAACACTGCATACGTTACATTGTATCAATGCCTGGTGCAATGTGTTTATCATGGACCATGAACAGAATAACACATATCAAACAGTGTGAGTCAGAAAGGCCTAAAGTTTCCTGGTTTTATTCATACAGTTCTCAGGATATTATACAGTCACATCTTATATGTCTAATAAAAATATACTATACTAGTTCTGACTTCCATCAGCTAGCGCTGACACTTCCATACCTCAAATCTGTGCAAAAGTTATGTGGTGTATTTTACAGCCTTAACTATACCAACAGCAGCTTAGAAAATATAATGTCTTAATCAGAGTGTTACCTGATTCTGTTTTGGTTTTTGGTCAGATTGAAGAGGAAATGGTTACCCTGCAAAATGAGCGCTCAGAACGAATCCGCAGTCTATTAGAGAAGCAGGCCCGGGAGATTGAAGCGTTTGACTCTGAAAGCATGCGTCTGGGCTTCAGCAACATGGTGCTCTCCAGCCTGGCCTCATCCGACGGCCACAGCCACAGCTTTCCGGGGGCCCAGAGTAGCTGGGGCTCCCAGCACGGTGCAAGCTCCCAGGGGTCACACTGGGGAGGGCACCACAGTGGCAGCCAGCACGGCCACCACCACCACCCAAGCCACAGTGACTCTATCCAACAGCCTTGGGGTCACGGCCTGCCTTCAGGCGGGCCGCCCCCCTGGGGTCACTACGGGTTTGGGGGCAGTCAGCGCTCGAGCGGGGGAAGTGGTGGGCTATGGAGCAGTCCCCAGGCTGTACGGCGGGCCACCACAGGGGGCCGCAGTGAGCAGGGGATGAGCAGGAGTGCCAGCATCGCCTCTCAGATTTCCAATGGCTCGCACTTGTCCTTCACGTAAGACCACCCGCTGCTCTCCCACAACACCCATCTTAACCCAAAGTGCCATAGGGGAAGGGACAAAGGGGCACCGTGGTCTTTTTTTCCCTTTCTTTTACACCCATTCTTTAATCCTCTAAATACATATTTTATACACGTGGTAAGCACAAAATGCATCAATTGTAGTTCAGGGTCTAAGAATGTAAAACATTCTGGCCAGTTGTATCAAACTTCAGCTAGAATCCAGAATGACCGAAGTCATTTTTGCAACGATGTGAAAAAGTTTTGAATTCAGAGAAAATGCAGTGTGCATTTTAGAGTGTGTTTAACTGATTTGAAAATGTTAGTGAGGGTAAGAATGAATATATGGATGCTGTGCATTACCTCTCATGTTTAGATATTTCTATTTTGCGGGAGTCCCGTGAATCATTTTATTCCCCCGCATCCCGCACACACGAGTGTCTACCCGCCCACACCAGCACTCGCCCATCTTGTCCCGCGCCTCACTCGGTTGCGTCGGGTCTCGCGGGAGCAGGTCTCTAATCCACTGGCACTTGACTCGACAGTGCGTGTGCTACATCCTTTTTACAATCTCTAGATTATAAAACACTGTATTCTGTCAGCAATGTAACGCGGCAGTAACATATAGAGACCTCGGCTTGTAACTATACTCTAATTACTATTTTGAAAATTATAACGCGTTAAATTACTCCGTTACTTAAAAAGTAATTAAATTACAGTAACGCGCTACTAAGTAATGCGTTACTGCCCAACACTGCATACGTTACATTGTATCAATGGCTGGTGCAGCGTGTTTATCATGGACCATGAACAGAATAACACATATCAAACAGTGTGAGTCAGAAAGGCCTAAAGTTTCCTGGTTTTATTCATACAGTTCTCAGGATATTATACAGTCACATCTTATATGTCTAATAAAAATATACTATACTAGTTCTGACTTCCATCAGCTAGCGCTGACACTTCCATACCTCAAATCTGTGCAAAAGTTATGTGGTGTATTTTACAGCCTTAACTATACCAACAGCAGCTTAGAAAATATAATGTCTTAATCAGAGTGTTACCTGATTCTGTTTTGGTTTTTGGTCAGATTGAAGAGGAAATGGTTACCCTGCAAAATGAGCGCTCAGAACGAATCCGCAGTCTATTAGAGAAGCAGGCCCGGGAGATTGAAGCGTTTGACTCTGAAAGCATGCGTCTGGGCTTCAGCAACATGGTGCTCTCCAGCCTGGCCTCATCCGACGGCCACAGCCACAGCTTTCCGGGGGCCCAGAGTAGCTGGGGCTCCCAGCACGGTGCAAGCTCCCAGGGGTCACACTGGGGAGGGCACCACAGTGGCAGCCAGCACGGCCACCACCACCACCCAAGCCACAGTGACTCTATCCAACAGCCTTGGGGTCACGGCCTGCCTTCAGGCGGGCCGCCCCCCTGGGGTCACTACGGGTTTGGGGGCAGTCAGCGCTCGAGCGGGGGAAGTGGTGGGCTATGGAGCAGTCCCCAGGCTGTACGGCGGGCCACCACAGGGGGCCGCAGTGAGCAGGGGATGAGCAGGAGTGCCAGCATCGCCTCTCAGATTTCCAATGGCTCGCACTTGTCCTTCACGTAAGACCACCCGCTGCTCTCCCACAACACCCATCTTAACCCAAAGTGCCATAGGGGAAGGGACAAAGGGGCACCGTGGTCTTTTTTTCCCTTTCTTTTACACCCATTCTTTAATCCTCTAAATACATATTTTATACACGTGGTAAGCACAAAATGCATCAATTGTAGTTCAGGGTCTAAGAATGTAAAACATTCTGGCCAGTTGTATCAAACTTCAGCTAGAATCCAGAATGACCGAAGTCATTTTTGCAACGATGTGAAAAAGTTTTGAATTCAGAGAAAATGCAGTGTGCATTTTAGAGTGTGTTTAACTGATTTGAAAATGTTAGTGAGGGTAAGAATGAATATATGGATGCTGTGCATTACCTCTCATAGGTAAGATTCTAAATCTTTATGCAGTGGGTTTTATCATGGTCTTATTTGCAGCTGGTTTCGGTTGTATAGAGCGGGAGATGAATGCATATAATTTTCTCAGAAACATTGATTCATATGAAAACAATTTCAGAAATATATATGTATAGGTGGGGAGGTCTGGGTTGGGTAAGCTTGAGACTGCTGAATGTTTTTGCTGGGCGGGTGGGTGCTGCTGCTGTCGTCCCTGCAGTGCCTTTGTTTCTTCCACGCCCACCCCAGATCTCCAGTGACTGCCGCCCACCCTCCAACTGAACTCTTATCACAGCATGTAGAAAAAGAATGATTAAAAATGCAACGAAAAATGTCAGATGGCATATAAAACATTATAGTGGAAGGGTATACAGCCAGGAGAAAGCTTTAAGTGAGATGTATAGGAAAATGTGTGTATATTGTATATTTAGAAATTTAAATAAATGAAAATCAATATAAAGACCCACGTTAAAACTAGACTAAAATTTAATTGCTTGACTGTGAAGATAAAAGAAAAAATAACTTGGTTTCTAATATTAATTATTTAAAAAGAGAAAAAAAATATATATACACAAAAGCATATTCTCAGAGGTGTCAAGTAAAGCCAAAAAAAGATTTTATTTCCCCTGCGATTACACTTATTCAGAGGATATCCCTTTCCATAGTCCTCTCTTTGCTTCTTGCTTTCCTTGCTTTCAAAGGTATGAATTACCATATTCATTAGTGCCAGTACTCATATTCTGTTATCTGTGAACCAGCTGTGAACTTTCATTATCTGAAAGATGGAAAAATGTCAGATGGCATATAAAACATTATAGTGGAAGGGTATACAGCCAGGAGAAAGCTTTAAGTGAGATGTATAGGAAAATGTGTGTATATTGTATATTTAGAAATTTAAATAAATGAAAATCAATATAAAGACCCACGTTAAAACTAGACTAAAATTTAATTGCTTGACTGTGAAGATAAAAGAAAAAATAACTTGGTTTCTAATATTAATTATTTAAAAAGAGAAAAAAAATATATATACACAAAAGCATATTCTCAGAGGTGTCAAGTAAAGCCAAAAAAAAAAATGTATTTCCCCTGCGATTACACTTATTCAGAGGATATCCCTTTCCATAGTCCTCTCTTTGCTTCTTGCTTTCCTTGCTTTCAAAGGTATGAATTACCATATTCATTAGTGCCAGTACTCATATTCTGTTATCTGTGAACCAGCTGTGAACTTTCATTATCTGAAAGATGAATGGTTTGGGTTTTATTTTGTTTCGTTCGAAGAAAGAGAAATCTCTTCATAACTGCCATCATGCCTATTTCAGAATGGCTTTACAAATATTTTTCCAGGAAAAGAAATTCCAGTTTGCAATATCAGTGCTACCTATAATAACTACCAACTATGAACACTATTTTGGCACACTTCTGGTATATGCATGGGATTGCAGATTTAATGAAGTTGCTTATCTCAGTCTGACTAACTAAACCCAACTAAGCCAATGCAGAGCCAGTCCTAAAGATTTAGGCCAAATGTAACAAATTAACATGAGATATACATATAACATGCCAATTGTTTAATTACATTCAGTACTCTAATGGAATCACTGGACCAGAGGAACAGCCATAGACTCAAAATGTGAGTTTACTCTCGCAAACAGGGTCATGCAGTATTTTCAAAAAAAAAAAAAAGGTGAGAGGTGTGCTCTTTTATAAGAGCAGATTTCTTTGGAAGCTCATAGCATCCTTGTTTTAATGACCCTTTTGACAAGTGTGAAAACAACAGGATGAATAATAATCAAGAAAGGTGGTACATCTGTACAGTGTGTTTACCAGTATTTCAACCTTTATCTTTTGATGGTCGTTGTCTCGTTTTCCTGCTTCAACATTACCAAGCAATCCATATATAACCTGTATTAAAATGTATAGATTGTAAAAAAAAAACCCTGAATGTTGGAGAGATTAGAAAAATTGTTATGGCTATTCATAACAAAAACAATTACAAGTGTATTAAAATATACAAAAATTATGAAAACGTAAGGGGACAAATGTAATGTTTTGTTTGTAATTACTCCTTTTGTTGGCAGAGGGCTACTGGACAAAGAAATCAACTGTAATAAAGTAATTTTAGTATATTTTGGTTTTGTCGTTTGTATTTTTTATTTTTTTTAAACATATCTTTATTAACTTTTCCAAAACGTTTACAAGTAAACAAGGAACACTTATGATCAAACCTTCTTCCCCATCCCCACAACCACAAAGCCTTGGCAGGCAAAATAAATAAAATAAAATAAATAAAATAAATAAATACAATCCTGATTGTTGTTATATTTATATTACATATCTTCACACATCTAGTGCCTCATCAATATCTCCTTCTTTAACAAAGTTCAAAAATGTCTTCCAGATATCATTGAATTCCGAGGATTTTTTCCTTATTACATATGTAAGTTTCTCAAGAGCCAAGCTAGAAATTAAATTTTTTAACCATAGTCCAAGGGAAGGGCAATTAGCATTCTTCCAACATAGGGCAATAGAACGTCTGGCTTGTAGTAGACATAAGTCCACTAATTTTCTTTCCTTACTAGATAAAGAACAATTGTCTCCATAAATACTTAATACACACAATACAGGGCATAAAGGAATCGGAGAAGAGGTAAACTGAGAAACATACTGAATCACCCCATCCCAAAACTTTTGCACTTCTTCACATTCCCACACAGAATGAAAAAATGTACCTTGTATTTTATTACATTTAAAACATAGGTCAGGGATATTCGGGTTAAATTTATTTAATCTTACAGGGGTAATATAGCTTCTCATTATCCAATTATACTGTAAGAGTCTCAACCGAGTATTCAAGGTTTGCGTTTGTGCCTTTAAGCACACTGTACCCCAATCCTCCAGTGAAATATCTTTATTCAAATCATATATCCACGCTTGTCTTTTATTTTCAGCACTTTCTTTATGATTCTCTATTAGCATCTTATATAATTGGGTAATCCGCCCTTTAGATAGACAATCTTGTGTGGAGAATGTTTCCAATAAGGACATTGGGGGGGAGTTGAGCAGAATTCTTCAGGTGTGAAAAAATAAAACTTCTAATTTGCAGATATTTAAAAAAATGTTTTCGAGGTAAATGGAACTTCACTACAAGCTTGTCAAATGACATTAGAATATTGTCTTCATACAAATCCATCACCCTCAAATAAAATAAAATAAATAAATAAATACAATCCTGATTGTTATATTTATATTACATATCTTCACACATCTAGTGCCTCATCAATATCTCCTTCTTTAACAAAGTTCAAAAATGTCTTCCAGATATCATTGAATTCCGAGGATTTTTTCCTTATTACATATGTAAGTTTCTCAAGAGCCAAGCTAGAAATACAATTTTTTAACCATAGTCCAAGGGAAGGGCAATTAGCATTCTTCCAACATAGGGCAATAGAACGTCTGGCTTGTAGTAGACATAAGTCCACTAATTTTCTTTCCTTACTAGATAAAGAACAATTGTCTCCATAAATACTTAATACACACAATACAGGGCATAAAGGAATCGGAGAAGAGGTAAACTGAGAAACATACTGAATCACCCCATCCCAAAACTTTTGCACTTCTTCACATTCCCACACAGTATGAAAAAAATGTACCTTGTATTTTATTACATTTAAAACATAGGTCAGGGATATTCGGGTTAAATTTATTTAATCTTACAGGGGTAATATAGCTTCTCATTATCCAATTATACTGTAAGAGTCTCAACCGAGTATTCAAGGTTTGCGTTTGTGCCTTTAAGCACACTGTACCCCAATCCTCCAGTGAAATATCTTTATTCAAATCATATATCCACGCTTGTCTTTTATTTTCAGCACTTTCTTTATGATTCTCTATTAGCATCTTATATAATTGGGTAATCCGCCCTTTAGATAGACAATCTTGTGTGGAGAATGTTTCCAATAAGGACATTGGGGGGAGTTGAGCAGAATTCTTCAGGTGTGAAAAAAAAAACCTTCTAATTTGCAGATATTTAAAAAAAAATTTTTGAGGTAAATGGAACTTCACTACAAGCTTGTCAAATGACATTAGAATATTGTCTTCATACAAATCCATCACCCTCCCAATGCCCTTATTCAACCATAGTTTAAACCCCGTATCATTTTTGGCTGGGCTGAAATGATCATTACCCCAGATAGGAGAAAAGCAAGACAGCGATGGGGAGTCACCAAGATATTTATGACATTCATGCCAGATCATAATAGTATTTTTTACAAACGGATTGTCTATCCTTTTTTTTAGTTCTTTAAGAGGTGCTGAATATAAAAAGCTGTCAAGTGTCAATCCTTTCGCAGTCAACATTTCAACCTGTACCCAAGGCACATCGGCATCTTAAGCAAACCAGAACATTGCAGCCCTCAATTGAGCAGCCCAATAATACCATAACAAGTTTGGAAGTTGTAGCCCACCCCTTTCATAAGGCAAATATAGAAGGGAAAGTCTAAGTCTTGGCCTCCTGTTACTCCAAATAAAATTAGAAAGAAGCTTTCTTACTTTCTGGAAAAATGCAGGAGGAGGAGTAAGTGGTAACGACTGAAAAACATATACAAATTTCGGAAGTATGGTCATCTTGATTACATTTATTCTTCCCATTAAAGACAGGACAGGGGCAGTCCATCTAGCTGTCTCTTCAGACAATTTAGATAATAAAGGTTCATAATTCGCTGAACTAAGGGAGCATATTTTAGGGGTTATTTTAATTCCTAGGTAATCAAAACCATTTACCGCATTTATAAATTGGTGTGCTACCTTTGGATTTATTCTCTCCTGTTCATTGAGAAACATAATTGAGGATTTATCTTTATTTACTTTAAAACCAGAGAATTTGCCAAACAGGTCCATAAGCTTTAAAAGAGATGGTATTGATTTTCCAAGTTCTGATAGAAATACAATGGTATCATCTGCATATAAGGCAATGCGATGTTCTAGGACATCGGTATGCATACCATGAATTGAAGGATGAGATCTTATTGCTATAGCCAGTGGCTCGCCAATACAAAAAGTAGAGGTGAGAGTGGTGAACCTTGTCTGGATCCGCGACTTAGTTTAAATGGTTGTGAGATAAAATTGTT